CACTTCTCGGTTAAATCTCATTATCTTGTTATGATCCATTGTGATGTCCAAACATTAACAAGCAACTATGGAAACTGAGAGCGCCTTTAAAAATTGAGATCTTCCTTTGGTACTTACATCAGGGTGTAATACTACCAAAAAATAATTTAGCTAAGCAAGTAGTAAGACATGTTGCTTCTGTCACAAGGATGAGATGATTAAACACTTATTTTTGAATTTGGATTTGAGTTTGGTCTATTGTACGTGTGGCTTTAGAACTTTCTTAACCCCATAGCATACCACATATGTTTGGTAGTTGGTTACAGGGAATTGGAACAGACCCGAGAAACACTACTCCTGCTACGAGCGACCACAACTTGTTGGTCTTTGTGGCTATGTTGAAATGATATGATCTTTGATAAAAATATTAATTCTCCTTTTGTAGGTTATCTATTTGATTATCCACTAGCTCCATATTTGGGTAATTCTCTAGCAGCTGCATTCGTAGGATTTGGTCATAGAGGCATTGCAACAATTAGAATGTGTGGTCAAGGAACTTTTTACTGAGACATATAGGCCGTGGTCTAGTCTACAGATTGAGTCACTAGATTGTCAAGAAAATAAGTTTTTATAGGCCGTGTGTTTTAATGCATAGGTCAAAAGTGCGCTCAAGTGGTTGTATCGACTCAATGTATTTATCTTGAGTTAATAAATTGCTTCCTCAATATTAAGAAGGTACAAACAAAAGGTGAGTCCGCCAAGTTCCTGTCACATCTATAAATCGATTTCTAGGTGCGACTAGAAACCGAAGCCACCTCTACAAATCGTTTTGAACCACCTCTAAAAACCAAGCTTCTAGAGGCGGCTCGAAATACAACCACATCTATAATTCATTTTCCAGAAATCATAAATCAGGCAAAAAAATCTAGGGAGGACCCACGGAGCCTGACACGTCACAAGTAATGTGATTTTCATACGAAATAAGCGTGTGTGTGGACGTGTGGGTTCGAACCCGTGACCTCAGGCCTTGCTTGTAGCTATGGTAACCACTCCACCCCAAAATCACATGTAACTAATGGAAAAAAAACATTTATTCAGTTTACCCTATTTTGAAATGAGTATTTAGGACAGTAAATAAATTCAAATTGAAAAGGTTTAAACTACAAAGTTTTAGATATTGTTGAGTACTACAACTTTTGTATTGGTTGTTTCTCTGGTCGAGGTCATTTGAAAATTTTGAATTTTAATATATGAAAAATGCAAATAGAATTTTGCTTGGATAAATAATTTCAAAGGAAAAGGCTGTCAACTACAAAGTTGCATATCTTTTCGCGGTCTACAACTTTGATTTTTGTTGTTTCTCCATCAAAGGTTCGTTTCAGAATTTGAATTTCAAAATATGAGCACTTAGAATTGAATTTTGGGACCACAGATTATTTTAAATGAAAATGTTATAAACTATAGTGTTTTATATCTTCTTGGGATCTATAACTTTGGTTTTAGTCATTTCTCCATATCTAATAGTTCAAAAAATTCAAATTTTTGAATTTAAAAAATGTTCGAACTTCAAATTGAATTTAAAAAAAAAATGTTAGAACTTCAAATATAATTTGCTAGATCTAAAAGAATTCAAATAAAATAGTTTATCTTTTATATAAAGTTTATATTCACGTAACTTTGTTTAGGGAAGTTATGAATTCTACTAGGATGAATTTATTTTTAGAGACGGCTCTAGGTCCAGCCGTCTCTAGAAATGGATTTTCTACAGATGGCTTGTTTCAAAAACCATTTGTAAAGGTAGATTTTGGTTGAGTCGCCTCTAAAAAATGTAGATGTTGTTAAAAATGGTTTTTTTAGTAGTGATATAACTATAAACATCACTAACTAAATTGGATGGCGACGGAGAAAAGAGAAAATGAAAAGGTATTTGTTGACAAGAATCCCGGATTACTAGCAACTAAAAGCTCAGCTCCAATTAACAGAAAAAACCAAGACTACTAGCACTTTAATTTGAGTCTTGATTAACCGATCAACAACACATTATTCATGAACCGGAAGAAAACGAATATGCCCCTTAATTCACATGTGTTGAGTGGAAATTATTAACTAATTTCCACCCCAATCCATCTTAATATATGTGGATTTCAATATGCCTCAACACATATAGATTGAGGTGAATATAAGTGCAGTAGAACAAGCTCTTAGAGTTTACTATATATGTAGAGCTCTAATTTAGCGGGCGATGATAAGAGCATCTCCAAGAGATTAGCCAAAAAGACTAGCCAAATTTACTTTAGCTACTTTCTAAAATAGATTTGACAAAAAGATACTAAGTACTCCAACACACTCTGTAAAACCAAGAGACTGGCACTAGTACGGTAAATCCAATGGAGGCGGGCGTTTTTCATTTCTGGAGGCGGGCATTGCAACTGCCTCCAATCAAAGGTCTCGGTTAATCCGGGACCTACAGAGGCGGTTGATTTGCCCGCCTCCGTAAATTGAATTAAAATAATAAAAAAACAGTCGAGCCCGATGCCAGCCAATATGAGCCTGACATCGAGCCCAGACACATACTGCCGTCGTCCTGGATACGCACCTGGATGCGCCGCTGCCCCCGAATCTGCACCTGGAGGCGCCGTCGGTGGAGCCCCTGCAGCTGGATCTGGTGGAGATGGGGAGGCCTCGTGCTAGATCCGTCATCCGCCTCCTCACCGCAAATCCACCGCCTCCGTTGTGGCGTGACCTCCACGACATGCTCTAGTTCAGATGCACCGCCGAGAGGGCCCCCGCGAGCGCCCGCTTTAGATCCACCACCGAGGTTGCCTACGCGACCTCCCCGTCGTCATCCACGCCCACCGCGGAGGTCCCTCCGCCGCCAGGGCCCTCCGCCACATTAGGAACTCCGCCTTCAGGTGCCTCTGCCGCGCCAGGGTCCTCCGCCGTCTAGGGCATGCAGACCCTCGCTGCTAGGGGCACGGCTCCCGCCACCTGGGACTCGTGGCGTTGTGTGCCGAGAGAGGTGAGAGAGAGAAGAGATAGAGAGACTGAGAGAGAGGCGCTGAGGGAGAGAAAGAGTGGATTTGGTTGGGGCTAGGGTTTCAAGGTCATATATACTGCGACCAGATTTCTAGGCTGAGATGGGCTTTCCTGGTTGGGAGTGGGCTCGGCCATGATTTACAGAGGCAGGCCTTTTAGGAGATGATTATTTTGTGACCGCCTCCGTAAATCGATTTTGCGAGGCGGTTAATTGTGATTGCCTCGGTAAATGAAAATGACCGCCTCCGTTAATAGTCTGGCATTTTAGGAGGTGGTTGGATTTTGTGCCCACCTCCATTAATGTTTGGGCACTACCTCCTAAAATCGTTTATGTAGTAGTGTGGATGGCTAGCGAGTTAGGCTATCCAAAAGTAGAAAGCGAATGCGGTGGGATGAAGAGTTACTAAATTTGGAGAGTCATTTATAGAGTTTATTGGTGACATTTTCTCTCTAATAATAGCCAAATTTATCTTTAGAAAACGACTTACTTGATCTCTTGGAGATGCTCTAATTAAGCATATATCTTGCCATGTACTCATGTGTTCCCTATTGACGAATCATGTGAAATCCTACAAGTAACGTATTGATGGATTTTATGATCAACGAAGTCACCATGGTAGGTGCGATATAAAGGTGTCACTGTAACCAATATACAAAATTCCAACAAATGTCAGAATGTCAAAATCTACTACGTAGAATGTTCATGATGGTTAGTTTTCTTGTGGTTGAATTTGTGGTAGGCGTGAGGAGAATGAAGAGGTCTTCGATTTGACATAGGTGCTCACATTTTTAACGACGTTGTTGTTTCCAGTGGTAGGCGATGTGCCGGTCAACAGCGAGACGCCGTGATTTCATCAATCTCGTTAGTCTTATACAAATTCTTGTAGGGATACAGTGTGTGCGTGCATACATTGAGGTAAAGCATTCTGTGTCTACTATGATTCGAAAAAATTACTATTTTTTAAGGTGGTTGAATTCAATTTCTAGAGGCAGAATTCGCAAATGCCTCTACGCTAGCGCCTCTAGAATAAAGGTATTTGTAGAGGCATGTGTGCCGCTTGAAATTGATTTCTAAGATCAAATGATATTATAGGCCATCCTAAAAAATAATTTTCGAGTGCAGTTTGTAAGGTGTGAATTCTAGAGGATTTGATTGCAGCTTGTTGATTAAAACCTCTAGCATCATACAATCTTTTCTTGTTAACATACTTCATTCAGCATGTTCGTTTGTTTGTTTCAGCCAGAGCTTATCAGTTATGGTACAGTGTTTTTCTCTCACAACAAATTAGCCGTATAAACCAGCACAAATGGCTTATCGAACCAACGAATAGGCTGATTGAGTCGTTCAATAAAGTACTCTCCTTAAAAATGATCTATTCCTTGGTGAAGTGGTACTGTGAGACACTTTGGAAAACTCATCTCATTTCTAGGGAGAATAGTCTTTTAGGTACATCTATTTGGATCTGTAGAAACGTGGAAAATGACAACCATATGTAGTAGCAAAAAAAAAAGCATGTCTTTAAAATTGTTTATATAGGCCCCGTTCGGCTTACCCCATATTCGGCCTGTTCGGCTTGTTTTTTCAGCCGGAACAGTGTTTTTCTCTCACAATAATTCAGCCAGAACAGTGTTTTTCAGCCAGTTTCAACCAAAATTCAGACCAGCGAACGGGGCCTAGCAGTGTTAATATCGGAATTGTCGAATACAAGGCATGGTCACATTCATGTTAGCAAAAAAAAAAAAGGTTCACACGTACAGTTTCCGCAGGAGCAAAAACAGATTTTGTGTGCTGAGAAGCCAAGAGCCCAAGGCCACCCAACTAGCAAAAACCCTGTTGTAAAAAAAAACAGCCCATTTCTCTATAAATACCCCAACTCCGGTAGCCAAAGTTCCTCACCCATTCACTCACTCCACACTCATCATCTCAAAGCAAGGCATAGGTAGCAGCCACTAGAAGCGGCTACCCAGAACACCTCACCTCGCCCATGGCGGTGGCCTCCGCGGCTTCCACGTGCACGGACGGCACGTGGTGGGTGTACGCGCTCCCGGCGCTGTTCGGCTCGGACACCCTGTGCGCCCACCCGGCCCTCCTGGCCGGCCTGCTCTTCCTGACCACCGTCACGGCGGCTCTGCTGGCGTGGGCCGCGTCGCCGGGAGGGCCGGCATGGGCGCACGGCCGCGGCCGCCTCGGTGCCACTCCTATCGTGGGGCCCCGCGGTCTCCCCGTGTTCGGCAGCATCTTCGCGCTGTCCCGTGGGCTGCCGCACCGTGCCCTCGCCGTGATGGCCCGCGCCGCGGGGCCCCGGGCCAAGGAGCTCATGGCCTTCTCCGTCGGGGACACGCCCGCGGTCGTGTCGTCGTGCCCGGCCACGGCGCGTGAGGTGCTCGCGCACCCGTCCTTCGCCGACCGCCCCGTGAAGCGGTCGGCGCGGGAGCTCATGTTCACGCGCGCCATCGGGTTCGCGCCCAACGGCGAGTACTGGCGCCGCCTCCGCCGCGTCGCGTCCACGCACCTCTTCTCCCCGCGCCGCGTCGCCGCGCACGAACCAGGACGCCAGGGCGACGCGGAGGCCATGCTCCACTCCGTCGCCGCCGAGCAGGCCGCCACTGGCACGGTCGTCCTCCGCCTGCACCTCCAGGCCGCCGCTCTCAACAACATCATGGGGAGCGTCTTCGGCACGCGTTACAACGTCACATCCGGCGCCGGCGCCACGGAGGCCGAGCAGCTCAAGAGCATGGTGCGCGAGGGGTTCGAGCTCCTCGGCGCCTTCAACTGGTCTGACCACCTCCCCTGGCTCGCCCACCTGTACGACCCCAGCAACGTCACCCGCCGGTGCGCCGCGCTCGTGCCGCGCGTCCAGACCTTCGTCCGTGGCGTCATCGACGAGCACCGGCGCCGCTGCCAATACTCCGCAGCCGTCGACGACAATGCTGACTTCATCGACGTGCTTCTCTCCCTCGACGGCGACGAGAAGCTCCAGGACGACGACATGGTCGCCATCCTCTGGGTAAACCTCAAATCGATCGCTTTCCTAGCTTGTTCAACGGCATACTTCTCGGATCTACAGTTTTGTGTCGGTTGTTCCCGAAAGGGAAAAAGGAGCAAAGCTTTTGTGTCCGTCGCTGAAAATAGAGTACATATGATTTGTTTTTTCAGGAGATGATCTTCCGCGGTACGGACACGACGGCGCTTCTGACCGAGTGGTGCATGGCGGAGCTGGTGCGTCACCCGGCGGTGCAGGCGAGGGTGCGCGCCGAGGTGGACGCAGCCTATAATATCATTTGATCTTAGAAATCAATTTCAAGCGGCACACATGCCTCTACAGATGCCTTTCTTCTAGAGGCGCTAGCGTAGAGGCATTTGCGAATTCTGCCTCTAGAAATTGAATTCAACCACCTTAAAAAATAGTAATTTTTTCGAATCATAGTAGACACAGAATGCTTTACCTCAATGTATGCACGCACACACTGTATCCCTACAAGAATTTGTATAAGACTAACGAGATTGACGAAATCACGGCGTCTCACTATTGACCGGCACATCGCCTACCACTGGAAACAACAACGTCGTTAAAAATGTGAACACCTATGTCAAATCGAAGACCTCTTCATTCTCCTCACGCCTACCACAAATTCAACCACAAGAAAACTAACCATCATGAACATTCTACGTAGTAGATTTTGAAATTCTGACATTTGTTGGAATTTTGTATATTGGTTACAGTGACACCTTTATATCGCACCTACCATGGTGACTTCGTTGATCATAAAATCCATCAATACGTTACATGTAGGATTTCACATGATTCGTCAATAGGAAACACATGAGTACATGGCAAGATATACGCTTAATTAGAGCATCTCCAAGAGATCAAGTAAGTCGTTTTCTAAAGATAAATTTGGCTATTATTAGAGAGAAAACGTCACCAATAAACTCTATAAATGACTCTCCAAATTTAGTAAATCTTCATCCCACCGCATTCGCTCTCTACTTTTGGATAGCCTAACTCGCTAGCCATCCACACTACTACATAAACGATTTTAGGAGGTAGTGCCCAAACATTAATGGAGGTGGGCACAAAATCCAACCACCTCCTAAAATGCCAGACTATTAACGGAGGCGGTCATTTTCATTTACCGAGGCAATCACAATTAACCGCCTCGCAAAATCGATTTACGAAGGCGGTCACAAAATAATCATCTCCTAAAAGGCATGCCTCTGTAAATCATGGCCGAGCCCACTCCCAACCAGGAAAGCCCATCTCAGCCTAGAAATCTGGTCGCAGTATATATGACCTTGAAACCCTAGCCCCAACCAAATCCACTCTTTCTCTCCCTCAGCGCCTCTCTCTCAGTCTCTCTATCTCTTCTCTCTCTCACCTCTCTCGGCACACAGCGTCGCGAGTCCCAGGTGGCGGGAGCCGTGCCCTAGCAGCGAGGGTCTACACGCCCTAGACGGCGGAGGACCCTGGCGCGGCAGAGGCACTTTAGGTGAAGTTCCTAATGCGGCGGAGGGCCCTGGCGCCGGAGGGACCTCCGCGGTGGGTTTGGATGACGACGGGGAGGTCGCGTAGGCAACCTCGGTGGTGGATCTAAAGCGGGCGGTTGCGGGGGCCCTCTCGGCGGTGGATCTGAACTGGAGCATGTCGTGGAGGTCACGCCACAACGGAGGTGGTGGATTTACGGCGAGGAGGCGGATGACGGATCTAGCGTGAGGCCTCCCCATCTCCACCAGATCCAGCTGCAGGGGCTCCACCGACGGCGCCTCCAGGTGCAGATTCGGCGGCAGCGGCGCATCCAGGTGCGGATCCGGTGGTGGCGGATCTAGGACGGCGGCAGTGTGGCTGGGCTCGATGTCGGGCCCATATTGGCTGGCATCGGGCTCGACTGTTTTTTTTTATTTTAATTCAATTTACTGAGGCGGGCAAATCAACCGCCTCTGTAGGTCCCGGATTAACCGTGACCTTTGATTGGAGGCAGTTGCAATGCCTGCCTCCAGAAATGAAAAACGCCCGCCTCCATTAGATTTACTGTACTAGTGCCAGTCTCTTGGTTTTACAGAGTGTGTTGGAGTACTTAGTATCTTTTTGTCAAATCTATTTTAGAAAGTAGCTAAAGTAAATTTGGCTAGTCTTTTTGGCTAATCTCTTGGAGATGCTCTTATCATCGTCCGCTAAATTAGAGCTCTACATATATAGTAAACTCTAAGAGCTTGTTCGACTGCACTTATATTCACCTCAATCTATATGTGTTGAGGCATATTGAAATCCACATATATTAAAATGGATTGGGGTGAAAATTAGTTAATAATTTCCACTCAACACATGTGAATTAAGGGGCATATTCGTTTTCTTCCGGTTCATGAATAATGTGTTGTTGATCGGTTAATCAAGACTCAAATTAAAGTGCTAGTAGTCTTGGTTTTTTCTGTTAATTGGAGCTGAGCTTTTAGTTGCTAGTAATCCGGGATTCTTGTCAACAAATACCTTTTCATTTTCTCTTTTCTCCGTCGCCATCCAATTTAGTTAGTGATTTTTATAGTTATATCACTACTAAAAAAACCATTTTTAACAACATCTACATTTTTTAGAGGCGACTCAACCAAAATCTACCTTTACAAATGGTTTTTGAAACAAGCCGTCTGTAGAAAATCCATTTCTAGAGGCGGCTGGACCTAGAGCCGTCTCTAAAAATAAATTCATCCTAGTAGAATTCATAACTTCCCTAAACAAAGTTATGTGAAGATAAACTTTATATAAAAGTTATATACCTCGAATAGATCTACAACTTCGTAGTTGACAACTATTTTATTTGAATTCTTTTAGATCTAGCAAATTATATTTGAAGTTCTAACATTTTTTTAAAATTCAATTTGAAGTTCTAACATTTTTTAAATTCAAAAATTTGAATTTTTTGAACTATTAGATATGGAGAAATGACTAAAACCAAAGTTATAGATCCCAAGAAGATATAAAACACTATAGTTTATAACATTTTCATTTAAAATAATCTGTGGTCCCAAAATTCAATTCTAAGTGCTCATATTTTGAAATTCAAATTCTGAAACGAACCTCAGATGGAGAAACAACAAAAATCAAAGTTGTAGATCGCGAAAAGATATGCAACTTTGTAGTTGACAGCCTTTTCCTTTGAAATTATTTATCCAAGCAAAATTCTATTTGCATTTTTCATATATTAAAATTCAAAATTTTCAAATGACCTCGACCAGAGAAATGACCAATACAAAAGTTGTAGCACTCAACAATATCTAAAACTTTGTAGTTTAAACCTTTTCAATTTGAATTTATTTACTGTCCTAAATACTCATTTCAAAATAGGGTAAACTGAATAAATGTTTTTTTTCCATTAGTTACATGTGATTTTGGGGTGGAGTGGTTAACATAGCTACAAGGCCTGAGGTCACGGGTTCGAACCCACACGTCCACACACACGCTTATTTCGTATGAAAATCACATTACTTGTGACGTGTCAGGCTCCGTGGGTCCTCCCTAGATTTTTTTGCCTGATTTATGATTTCTGGAAAATGAATTATAGATGCGGTTGTATTTCGAGCCGCCTCTAGAAGCTTGGTTTTTAGAGGTGGCTCAAAACGATTTGTAGAGGTGGCTTCGGTTTCTAGTCGCACCTAGAAATTGATTTGTAGATGCGACAGGAACCTGGCGGACTCACCTTTTGTTTGTACCTTCTTAATATTGAGGAAGCAATTTATTAACTCAAGATAAATACATTGAGTCGATACAACCACTTGAGCGCACTTTTGACCTATGCATTAAAACACACGGCCTATAAAAACTTATTTTCTTGACAATCTAGTGACTCAATCTGTAGACTAGACCACGGCCTATATGTCTCAGTAAAAAGTTCCTTGACCACACATTCTAATTGTTGCAATGCCTCTATGACCAAATCCTACGAATGCAGCTGCTAGAGAATTACCCAAATATGGAGCTAGTGGATAATCAAATAGATAACCTACAAAAGGAGAATTAATATTTTTATCAAAGATCATATCATTTCAACATAGCCACAAAGACCAACAAGTTGTGGTCGCTCGTAGCAGGAGTAGTGTTTCTCGGGTCTGTTCCAATTCCCTGTAACCAACTACCAAACATATGTGGTATGCTATGGGGTTAAGAAAGTTCTAAAGCCACACGTATAATAGACCAAACTCAAATCCAAATTCAAAAATAAGTGTTTAATCATCTCATCCTTGTGACAGAAGCAACATGTCTTACTACTTGCTTAGCTAAATTATTTTTTGGTAGTATTACACCCTGATGTAAGTACCAAAGGAAGATCTCAATTTTTAAAGGCGCTCTCAGTTTCCATAGTTGCTTGTTAATGTTTGGACATCACAATGGATCATAACAAGATAATGAGATTTAACCGAGAAGTGTCCATTTTTTGGTAAGTTCCAGCAAAATTCATCTAGGTCATGAGTAAGAACAATGTTAGAAATATGTTGAAGCAATGTGTTCCATGCTACTAACTTTGCGCCTATTAGATAACCACGTAAGACAAATTAGGCGAGCATGAACTAAGAACTTTTGCTACTGTAGCCTATTTATTTCTAGCTATATTGTACAAGCATGGATATTGTTCTCAAAGTGTTTTGTTTCCCAACCAATTGTCCTCCTAGAATCTAATTTGGCATCCATCTTCTATTGTGAAAGTTCCAAATCGAAAGAACGCCTGATTCACCTTCATAAGGACTCGCCCAAAAGTACGAGTCCTCAAAGTTCCACTCAACTTGCACAATAGGCTTAGTTCCCATGTATTTTTGAATTAGCCATTACTAAACCCTGTTTGTTGTAAGTAGTTTAAATAGCTATTAACTAAGAAAACATCATTCTTAGTTTTTAAGTCTTGTATTCCTAGGCCACCTTGGTCTCTAGGATGACACAAAGTGTTTCATTTTGCGAGTCTATATTTTCTTTTATATCCATGACTTTACCAAAGAAAATCTGGATCTATAATAATCCAACTTATTAAGTACACCTCTAGAAATGGCAAAAAAGGACATCAATGTGAGCCACCTACATATGGAGAGATGCTTGCCTTTCTAGCTGCTATGTCGTTTCTCAAACCGTTCCTCATTATTATCCAATCACTATTTCGCAACTATCTGTGATGTACATAGATTCCTAGGTATTTAGTGTTAGATCACTCAATGCAATTTGCAGCCAAACAATTCAGTGTATTGTGTTTGTGCATCCTGAGCTTCACCAAAGCAAAACAATTCATTTTTATGAAAATTGATCTTTA